CCCCCCCCCCCCCCGGTTAGATTTTTATTCTTCCGCCAGAATCTTAACCGTTTTTCGAGTGCCCATTTTGTGTAATAAGCCAGCGATTCCCCGTAACAATCATCACTTTTGTTGTCCCTAGCTTGTTATCAACTATCAGAACAGGACTTGGGTTTCTTGGTTTTTTTTACAGGAATAAAACTTGCGGAGATTTATTGACACCGATGTAATCTATTGTTTAATATTTAACATCAGGTGAAATAATTTATTGAAAAATAAAACAATCATGGGGTGTTTTTTTTAAAAAAAAAATTGAAACACAAATATTTGGGTTATCCATTCGGTTAATAATCGAATAATTTAACCGATTTGAATCGAATAATATATTTAATTGTGTAAATCGGATTTGATTCAACCGTGATTTCTTTTATAATGAAAATATCAATTTTGAATTCAAATAAAATCAAACATAAAACAAGCATTTTTTTGAAATATTGAATATTTTTATTAATAAAAACCGAATCGATATGAGTGATTGTAGTTTTTTAAATTTTACATAACTAAATTTGAATATATTCATATCTGTATCGAACTGAAATTTTAGGATCATCGTAACACATTTGTTTTATTGTTATTTTTTTTTATATTTTCCCTAAATATAATAGTTTTGTGAATATAGGTGTAAGATATTCAAAGCTATATGAGTTTATGGTGTTGAGTTTATAACGAGAATAAAAGTAGTTTTATTTTTATCCACAGCAGATGGAATCGGCCGGCCATATAGGAAAATGTAAGGGTAAAAACGTAATTGTGCAAGAAGCAAAAACCCTGGTCCGGAGTCGTTGGTTTTTGATCTAGGGTTTTGTTAAGGTGTTTCTTTTGCTCTCCTCCCTTTTTGAAGCTCTCTCCTTCCCCGCGGCCGGGTACCTTCACCAACTCTCTTTGCAATTCACCCACCGCCACCGCAACCGTCACAGTCACCGTCACCGTCACCGAGCTCACCTCTCTCCCTTTGTCTGTCGTCTATCGCGTGTATCTCAGGTTTGTCTTTTAGGTTTTTGTTTTTACGATTTCTTATTCGAGATTTCTCGGTTGAGGTTAGGGTTTTGATTTTTGACACATATATAGGTAAACACGCACATACACACACTTTGTATCTGCTTGTGCGTGTATCATCAGTTATGGGTTGATTCTGGGTTCATTTTCCTTTTTGTTGTTCTTATTTTAATCTTCCTCGCTACTGTTTGCTATTGTTTATGGTTCACACCCGCCGTCAAGCTCTCCGCGATTTTGGTAATGCAAAAAAGTCCCTGTATGGCATCTTCGAAGGAATGGTGGTGTCTTGTGTTATTGCAAGGCCTTGGCTTTTTTGTTTCTAATGGATGAAATAGGCTGTTTATTTTTGTATATTACGATTGAATTTACTGTTTCCAAATAATCTCAGTAAACGGTGGTGATCCTCTCCAAATTCCTGTGTTTTCCCTTGCCGACATTTGCGGTCTCGCTTTCTGCAGAACCCTAGCGAGTTTCCGCTTTTCTTCGGAGATTCTTAAGCCCTAGCGAGTCTTGCAAGTTCTGCTCTCTCTGTGATTCATCATGCCGAAGCACTACAGACCGCCGGTGAGTATCTTTAATCTCATCTCGTTCTGTGCTTCGGGTTATTAGTGAATTGTCCAAAAAGTGTGGCTGCTTGGTTTTTAATTTTCATTTTCTCGCACTTTCTCAGTAAAAATTTTCTTTGATTCTCTGGAAAATTTTTCGTTCTTTTGCAGGGAAAGAAGAAGGAAGGAAATGCTGCCAAGTATATGACCAGAACGCAGGCCTTGAAACATCTTCAAGTCAATCTGAATCTGTTTAGGTTCTCTTTTTTCTAACAACCTCTCGTTTCTGTCGTCTCTTTCCTTTACTCTGTTTTCTAGGGTTTGATGTTTCTGAAAAATCGTTGGCAGGCTATTTAGGTTTCCATCCATTTTTCTCCTCCTTAACTGTGTTTCTTTGAATCATCTTGAATTATTTTCAGATGAATTCCGATTTGATTTGGTTGGTCATGACAGTATAGTTTTGTTTGTGTTTTGTGGAATTGTAGGAGACTGTGCATCGTGAAGGGTGTGTTTCCCCGGGAGCCAAAGAAGAAAATTAAGGGAAACCATCACACGTACTATCATGTTAAGGATATTTCTTTCCTTCAACATGAACCATTACTTGAGAAGTTCAGAGAAATAAGGACATACCAGAAAAAGGTAACCAAAGCCAAGGCTAAGAAAAATGAGGAGCTAGCACGTCTTCTGCTTACGCGTCAACCGACATACAAACTAGATAGATTGATCCGAGAAAGGTTAGCTACAGGGACTTGTATATATACTTGTGATTGAACTTTCATGGAAATCTCTGTTCATATTGTTGAATTTTGTAGGTATCCTACCTTTGTTGATGCGCTTAGAGACTTGGACGACTGTCTCACCATGGTTCATCTTTTTGCGGTGTTACCTGCCACAGACAGGGAAAATCTCGATGTTAAACGTGTGCACAACTGTAGAAGGTCAGAGTCTTATCTGCTATGTTTTCTTTTTAAACTAAAGTAGTGAGATCTATTATGCTTTTGTGTCTGACTAGTTGAATTTTGGTCTTCTGCTATTATGAATCAGATTGAGTCATGAATGGCAAGCTTACATATCTCGTACCCATTCGTTACGGAAGGTGTTTGTGTCTGTTAAAGGCATATATTATCAGGTAATATTGCATGTTGGCTTTCTTTAAAAGTTATGATGGGGCCAACATCATAGTTACTCTTAGAATGCTTTGCTAATTATTTTTTATAGGCTGAGGTTGACGGGCAAAAGATTACTTGGTTGACACCTCACGTATTACAGCAAGTTATGACAAATGATGTTGATTTTGGAGTCATGCTGACATTTTTGGAATTTTATGAAGTAAGAATCCATTGACCTCTCAGAATCTTCTCTTTCTGTCCAAACTCCTAAATCCTAATTTTAGCATGGTCCAGTAGGCTACCCATCTTTGCTTTCTAACTGCCAATCTTTTCTTTTTGATATTAATGCAGACTCTACTTGCCTTTGTCAACTTCAAGATGTATCACTCTGTAAATGTAAAGTATCCACCTATCCTTGATCCTCAATTGGAGGCTTTAGCAGCAGGTATTGTAAAGTATCCACATAATTCTTTCTGAAGATGATCTCACTTGAGAGTAGTTCTTGGAACTTATTCTGGTTTGTTATTTCATTGCTATAAGATTGAATCTGAATATGTAGAATATTTTTATATATAGAAGATAACATGGGGGTATTTGTTTAATTTTTCAGATCTCTATGCATTGTCAAGATATATAGATGCTAGCTCGAAGGGTTTGGCCTTGAAACCTCAAGCCATTGGTTCATCTAACTCAGAGTCAAGTGCCAATGAGGAGTCTGATCTCCGACTTTCGCAATTGCAGCACCAGCTGCCCTCTAATGAGCCTGGAGCATTGATGCACCTTGTTGCGAATGAAGAGGTTGAAGATGATGAAGAAACAAAGGTGTGCAAGAAGCTCTTCAAGGGTATGAAATTTTTCCTCAGTCGCGAGGTATGGCTCTGACTTTATTCCTCATATAAACTCTTTTCTGGTGGATCGGTGAATGGATTAGTCTCTTAATAATTTTTTTTGAAACACCAATCAAATCAGTTAGGTCATATGTTCCAAGAGATGCAGAATCATTCTGATTTTTTCTCCTCTCTTATAGGTTCCAAGAGAGTCATTGCTTTTTGTCATTCCTTCTTTCGGGGGTGTCGTATCTTGGGAAGGTGAAGTTGCGCCTTTCAAGGAAGATGATGAAACTATCACACATCAGGTCAGCCATTTGTATAATTTCTCACCCTTTTCCCATTTATTATATCTAAGACGAAAAGGTAGATAGAATTTGTTTCAACTTTCAAGAGCTTGCAACAATGGAAACTTGCTTTCGTTATTTGTATTGCAGATTGTTGATAAGCCAAGCCAAGGTCATCTGTACCTGTCAAGGGAATACATCCAGCCACAGTGGATTTATGATTGTGTGAATGCAAGGATAATCTTGCCAACTGAGAACTACATGGTTGGAAGGTAATGATGAACCTAACTCGTTGTCCAATTTGAGATCTCATCATAATGGTGTTTTACAATTTGATCAAAGAAAAAGCGGTGCAATGGTGGTGTGTTTTTTGGGTTGGCTATTGAGCAGGATTCCTCCTCCGCACTTGTCACCATTTGTTGACAACGAAGCAGAGGGATATGTTCCTGATTATGCTGAAACCATCAAAAGGCTACAAGCTGCGGCCAGAAGTGAAGTTTTGCCATTGCCTGATGTCGGGAAAGATGATCTGGAACATCCACAGAGCTTATTGGCCGAAGGTTTTATGAGCCGTGCCGAGGCAGCTGAAGCTGCTGAGAGGAAGAAGAAGGTATGAACCTTTTTCTTTTGTCGTTTTTTTTATATAGAGAAATAATAGAAGCTGTTCCTCCTTGCTCTGAGTGGTATAAATATTGCAATTCGTGGGTATGAGTGTATGTAGATGATGGTCCTGGAGAAGCAGTACCATGATGAACTGAAAATGGAACTCAAGGGAGTTGGGACAGTAGACGATGATAAGGTTGATGACTTGGACGATAGGGGGCAAGAAGAAGAAGAAGAAAAGGAAGAAGAGCCACGTCTTGATGATGCAGCCAATCAAACCAATGACGAGAACGCGGACATGGGTACTGTGTTGATGTCTCGTAAGAAGAGGAAGCTCTATGAAGCCATGAAGGTATTGCATTATTACTTACTCTTGGTTCTACACCTTGAATATATATATGTATATGTATGTGTATATATGCATATGTACATGTAAAAAGAAAATCCAACGTGTTTGTGTGAGAAATTGCAGATAAGTCAGAAACGAAAGAAGGCCGGCGTCGAACGTCTCAAGGAGCGTAAGAAGAAATTGGAGAAATAAAAGATAAAAGGCCGAATACAAAGGAGCGATCCTTTATTTATTATTAAAAGCTTACTTTAAGATTTCTCTGTCATCGATTTGTATCCTTCACTTAAAAATATTCATCTGACTTTGGGCCTTAAAGCCCAAATTTTGACCGCATAAATACGCTTTAAATATGGGTTCTTTAATTAAACTTTAATTTAATGCCTTAGTTTATGAGATTATTAGAGAGTTATAACGAATTTTATACAATTGTTTGTCACAATCTCCGGGCTTTTCAGAGATTGGAATTGTTTTTTTTAAATAAATATCATATCATCAAAAAATTGATTTTAATGTGAATTCGTATAAAGGTTCGAAAAATATTATTTTCAATAATGAATATCCTAACCTCAAAAATATCAAAACCAAATCTAAACCGGATCGGAGAATGCCTTCGGTTTTCACAGAACCAAATTGGCGGGTGGCGGAAGCGTGAGGGATACATTTATCCGAAAGCTGACACGTGCCGACCTCTCGGTTACACGCTTGCGTTGGTCTCAACTAGATTCTTCTCAGGCGACACTAGATTCCAAAATATTCCATGGCTCTCCTGCTGCCACGTCAGCATCCCACCCTCTTCGCGCCTTAATTTCTCCCTCCTCAAAAAAAAAAATATTTAACTAAAAAAGAAAATTATCTCCGACAATTATATTCGGAGAGATTTTTCTCTCCCACTCTCTCTCCATTGGATCATTCGTCTCGTCGATGGCGCAGTTACTCTCTCCTGTTTGTACGGACCTTTTGAAGCTTCAAAACCCGGTTCTGAGCTCGAGATCGAGTCCATGGAGGTTTCCCGCCAAGACCCACGGTGGTTCTTCCTGGTGCTTCTCTTCTTTCCCCGGTAGGAGACGCTCCGGCATCAGGCTGAGAGTTGCGACGGAGGATCCTGCTTCTCTTTTCACCGACGATGTCGCCGATGATTACTACGCCGTCCTCGGACTGGTAAACTCTGCTGTTCTCTTCCCTGTTTCGGAGGCAAATCTCTTATGATCATGGTTTTGGAACATCGCATTAGGGAATTTAGGACAAATTTTAGCCGATTTCTACTGGATCGTTTTGTATGTGTAGAACCTCATTGCTGCATTAGATTCAGATTATTGTGCTTATATTCTGAAACTTCGAGCTTTGATCTTAATTGTTTGGTTATGAGAAATTCATCGAGTGGAAATGAACAACGAGCTCGAATGTAAAGCTTCTGGGAAGACAGTACTTGCGTCGGGACAATCATCTGTCCCTAACTATTTGGAAAATACAACTCTGGTGCATTATGCAGGGAATGTATCCGTTTCGATTTGGAGTGAATCCATTAAATTATGGTCATTATCATCTTGCAACCTCTGCTAGATTTGTTATGTTGAAGATTTGAATCCCTAATGACTTTGTTCACGCTCTGTATCATCCCATTAGCTTCCAGATGCAACACAAGAAGAGATCAAGAAAGCTTACTATAATTGTATGAAAGCTTGCCATCCCGACTTGAGCGGCGATAACCCAGAAACCACTAACTTCTGCATGTTCATTAACGAAGTCTATGCGGTGAGTATTTCTAACTTTGAACTGAAAATGTATGTTGATTCGGTTTCGTACTGACGGTTGCATTGCAGGTGCTAAGCGATCCTGTACAGCGGATGGTGTACGATGAAATTCATGGGTATGCAGCTACTGCAACCAATCCCTTTCTTGATGATTCTGGCGAAAGGGATCAGATTTTTGTTGATGAATTTGCTTGTATAGGTACGTGTTGAATTCACTCCTTGCACTGAGACTTTCAGTCTGTGACATCTTGCAGCAAGTACCATCAAGTGTATTTCCAAATAGTGTACAGCAAAGATTATATTTAAATAACTTCCTGCTCTTTCTAGTATGACCATAGTCGTGTTTATTGTTTGTTCTATAGGTTGCAAAAATTGTGCCAATGTGGCTCCAGATATATTCCAAATTGAGGAAGATTTTGGAAGAGCACGAGCCTACAGCCAATGTGGAAACCGGGATCTAGCTCAGCAAGCAGTTGAAACATGGTGGGCTACTTAAATTTGTCGATGTTTCAAATGATTCTGGGAGTCTCATTATTTCAAAGAACAGATGAAAACTCATTTTTCTTTTTTGTCAGCCCGGTCGATTGTATCCATTGGACATCAGCGGCGCAGTTGTCCTTGCTTGAAGACGAGATGCGAAGGGTAGAAAGAGTGAATGTAAGACGAGAATTCACTCAGCAGTTTTTTTTTTCTTGGCTTTCTGTTATTTTTGTTTCTAAACTCCTGTGTAAATCTTTTGTGTCCATAATTTTAATCAGGTTGCTTTGATGCTCTCTGGAATGGGTTCTGGAGCAGTCGACGTATTCAGAATGGTAAGAGGGAGGAACCAGTAGAACCTTAACAAGCTTACAAGATATGAAATTTTCCGAGTTTTTTTTTTCTGCGACATAGTTGATATGATCCTAGGTGTTTCAAATCTGTTTCTGAAGATGCAATAGATTGTAATCCTAGGGCCAGACCGTTTTGGTGTGTGGACATATTTTACTGATCAAACCTGAATATGTTGGCAGGCGAGTTCTCGGTGGGAAAAAAGACAAGCTAAAGTTTTGGTATGAACTCTAACCTTCCCCGTTCTATCTTCTAAATCCACGTCTAAACCCTTTGCTTCGAGATTGAATATGCTCTGCTGGATTCCTACTCTTCTATCTCTTGTCTGATTTCTAGATGTACCTAAACATCAGTGGGTCGAACTTTTATGTTTCAGGGACAAGCTAGAAGTAGGATGACGAAGCGGAAAGGCACGGAAGAAACGCCTTCCTACTGGGATAACCTCTGGGGAAAACCCAAAGACTACAAGAAATCGGGTAAGAGAGACGAAAACCTCATCACCCAAATCTGCATAACTTCACTTCCTAATTACGGAAACCAAACGAGGAAAAGCTCGTAAATGTTTGAACGTAACAGAGGAAGAAGTGCAAGAACGAGCAAAGCGAGCCGCTGCTGCTGCTCGGAGATGGAGGGAGTACTCACGAAGAGGTGTCGATAAGCCACCAACCTTCAAACTTCCCGAGGCTTCATCCGAAACCGAAAACTGAAAGTCATTTACGCAATTCATATTCATATTGCTACAGGTACGTTCTATTAGTATAGTCTGCACATTTACGTGCGCATCATTTAGAACCTGTATAGTACTCAGATCGACTCAAGATGTATAAACAAAGGTATTGTATATAAAACCGGAACCTAGCTATACTGTAAATGTAAATTACAGATCTTGGATCGTAACCACGCAGTGTTTGCATCAAAGTGCAACTCATCAAAAAAGAAAAACCTGTTTATGGAACGTTTTAAGGCAAAGAATATCAAGGAATAATGTAACTGATATACAAGACATCAACCCTCTATTTGACGAAATATTTCTGATGAGACAGACTATATGTCCAAGCAGGAAAAAAAAAAAAAAAAAAAAAAAGACCGAACTCAGAAGATAATGTCTTCATCCTTGTCTGGGTCACCAACAAGCAAGTTGTGAGCAGATTTGATGGAAATGCCTCTCTTCAGAGCGATATCCTCCAAGACCATCTCCTCTGCAAAAGCCTTGGCAGCTTGCACTTGCCGCTCGATTTCTCTCTTCTTGTATCCCTGAATCTTCTTCAGCCTGAAGAAATCCTCTCTCTCGAGCTCGTCCAGCTCCCCCTTTATGTAATTGATCGTGTTCTCCAGCCTCGGCTTCACCACATTCTCGAGGGCGTTGACCCTTCTGTTCGTCGTCTTGATCGCCTCGTCCAGCGTCAAGAACGACGTCTGGAGCGAAGCAAGTTCCACGAGAACTTCTATGGCTTTCACATAGGCGCCTCGGCAGGCCTGCACCTGCTGCCCGCCTCTGGCTAAACCCGTCAGGTCATTCCTCGTCTCTCCTTCGGAGAAGTACTCGAACTTCGGTAGCTTGACCCCCGCGATGTTTTCTTGCCGGGATCGGACTTTCAGCGAGGCTTCTTTGACGCTCTGGAGGACAACGTGCTTGACATTCTCGCCCGCAACGTACTTTGTCTCGGTCAGGGCAAACGAGGATGTCTTCATGATATCTCCCATGGATTCCTTGGCGGATACGATCTTCTTCAGGATAGACCGGAACTGCACGGTTAGGGCGTCGCTCTTCTTCTTGAGGAGAGCGTGACCTCTCGTAGCCCCGACGAGACGGGCTTTCATGACACCGAGCATTGTAACGGTCGGAACCACATTCAAGCGCTGGTTTTGGCCAGCCATCTTTCCAGCTCACTGAATTGACGAAACACACGAGACAAGAGATCAATAGAGATGGACACGAAGAACATAACCGTTTGCGCACATCAGAACAGCGTAACGCGGCATTACACACTCGAATCACGCGAAGAGTAGAGGAAAGATTAGGTTTGAAATTTCACAGCTGGGCACGCCAAAACATCGCGAAGAAATACAAATCAGCGGAACCATCCAATCTATCGGAGAATTCAGAAAAATCGCTTCCTCTCGAGCGAAGAGGGGGAGAAAAATTCATGAACGGATCGTACCTCGGCCTTTTGAGGAACCACCGGAAGCAGATTCCTGCGAGATTGAACAGATCAGAATAAGAGAGAATAGAAACCTGGGGATTTGGAGAAATTTTTGAGATCCGAACGAAGATAAGTGAAGTGACCGACTCCCGCCTGAGAAAGGGATCGCCCCGCCTCGACGAAAGTGAGTGGTCGTTGTGTAATTAATCGAAAATTAAGGGTTTAGTTCAAGTTTAAGAAGAAGAAGAGGCGACTCATAAGGTGGGTCCAGTTTTTTCTGTAGCTGTCAAACTCCTGGTCGTTCGATCTTTTCTGAGTGGGACCCATCTAATCGAACGGTGGAAAATCGTCACGGGAAATTGATTTCTAAAAGACGAGAGACAAGACCACCGCAAGACTATGCAATTCCGAGATTGCCCTTGCTGTTGCTGAAATTGCATCATTTATTTTCTTGTAAGTGTAACCATAAAATTACACACACACATCAACATAAATGATAAATGTACTAAAAAAGGAAATATATTTTTCCTGGTTTTTCTAAGATTACAGTGATTTAAATCCCGTAAACAATGTGATTTGTGAGTTTTTTTGGTTATATTTAGATTTTGTTATTTATGTTATAAAAAAAATTATAAACTTTCAGTTTTTGTATTGAATTTGGTTCATCTCAATTTGGTTTAGTTTTACTAAAAATACTCATTTTTTAAAAAAAATTACGAATTTTTTTTATTAGTTTTTATTCGATTTGATTTGGATTCAATTTTTTTTATCGGTTTTAAAAAAATCATAACCATTCGATTTTATATCTAATTCGGTTCGATTATATTTATGCGTTATTAGATTTGGATCGATTTAGTTATTTAGTTATCAACCAATAATTCATCCCTATTCAAAATAATGATGTTTCCATAGTATAACATAGTATCATAATCCAAGTTTAGATTTGGATTGTCTTAAATTGTTATTATGAGTAATTGAATCATTAAACAAATCTTATATTATCGAATTTAAGATTTTAAGTTCCCATTTTTTTGGAAAACATGGGGGAGATTTTATTTTAACATAAATTGTGGTTTGACTTCGATCAAACCAATGGTGAAAAAATGAAACCAGCCAAACAAATTGTGAAATATAATGTAAGCTCTTATATTAAACAAAAAAAAAATCCTATTCTTATCTAAAAACATACGAGAAAAAAAAAATACATGAGTTGATCTAAAGAACATAAAATGTGTATGCACTTATTCCATATAGAATATAAAATGTTTGGTGTAAATACAAAATTCAAGTGTGATTTGAAATTTTGAATGATTGATATAACATTAACTCCAATAGTATATTTGGTAAAATTTCGCTACTTAACTATATACTTCTCCGAGTATATAACAAATGAGAGGGTGATTATAAAATAAATAAATAAAATGAGAGGTTAAAAGCGACATTGCCATGTAATAGATTCGTACTTTAAAAAGTAGTACCGTCGCTCCCCACGTGAGGCTCTGAAATGAGAGCGATAGATATTTTTCTTTTATCTTTTCTTTTTTAAAAAAAAAAATAAAATCCGAAAACAAAGCTGTAACTCAAAATATATAAACATTTAAAAAGGTTAGCAAATATTAACTCGCGGCTAAATTGATTGATATTTTTTTTGAATTGGCGCAAACAAAAATTGGGCAGAACTTGAAAATTAGGTATTACTGTGAATTTATATAAATTATAAAATATAGGACTTTTTTATTATGTTATTCCCAAATATTCATAAAAAAATTGTATTCATATATATTGTATATTATTTATTTTATTGTTATTATATTTTGTTTTCACATGAAAGACAGTCCATTCATTTCTTTCTTGTAACCATTGAATATATCGTATACTAAGCTTTAGGTCCCCCTTTCGTTTTTTCATGTAAATGGAATTTGACGGGAAATCAGGAGAAAAAAAAAGCGTGAAAAAAAGGATCATTGCTTTTGTGAGCTGACTGACTTATCTCTTCTAGAATTGTAAAATTATATTAATTTAAAATAAAATGAATACTAATTAGCTTAGCCTAAAATATTATATGTGAAATATAAACTTTCTGACTATTTTTCTAATAATAAGTATGGTCCAACATTCATTTTATTTTATTTTATTTTATTTTATTTTATTTTCCAGAGGTCAGTCTGCTTCAGGTTGTGTCGTTTCATCTTTGTCCTAAGCTCTTCCATCCGGTTTTATTACACATTTAATTTTTTTTATTCATTTTTCTGGCTTAATATTATCGTATTTTCTTCTTCTTTTTTTTTTTTGGGGGGGGGGGGGGAAAAAATTTTTAAAAAAAAAAAAATTATTAATTTTTACTAAGAATCGGTCTGTTCTTTCTTTATTTTTCGCACAAATATGCACGTATGTAATTGATACTGAACTACTACAAATGTTGTGAGCCATCTAAGCAAAGTAGTAGATGCTTTTTTATTTATTTTGGTGTGATAAATTTTTATATTTTGTATCATAGTACAACAGATTCTATTATTTTATGTATAATCTATTACAAATCAATTCATAAGATATGAAAGGATATAGTATTTCGTTTCATAGAATCCTTCTTTACAAAATGATATAACGAATCATTCGTGATAATTTTAAGCTTTTTTTATTATCAGAAAAGTGTTCTGTAAATGTAAAGACATAAAAGTAATTCTATTATTAAACTTTAGTATTTTCATAATTTTAAAAGTAAATTATAACTAAAAATTACTTATAGTTTTGATATATTTTTATAGATATCTCTAATAAAAAACACATCTAAAATAGGACATCGAAGAAAGAAGGTGAAAAAAAAAGGGAAATTAAAGAACCCCCATGATTTAGTAAAACAAAAACTACAATAATTTCCCGGAGACGGTCGGCCTGGGAAACAGCAATCTTCTTCTTCAGGGATATTTTATAAATAACATTAAATTATTTGTTTTTCCGCCCCTTAGAGAAGCAAGCGATGGTTTAAACCCAGAAACAGAGCGAGCTGAATCGACAAGGCATGGTGGAAGCAAGCTCCGTAATGATTCGGAGGAGCTTTGGATTTCTTCAATGGATGAATCAATGACCCATCGCCACCACCACGGCCTGAACTATTCCTTCCGCAGACATCGACGCCGGTCTTCACGACACTGAACTCGTCTGCCGGGTTCAGACAGAGTCCTGGGTTCCCGCTCAAATCCAGGTTCTTACCCAATCTCCTCAGGAAGCTTGAATCGAAGGGCACGACTCCGATCAGCATGTTCCTG